GAAAAAAGAAATTTCGCTACCATAATTAATCATGGTTTGCTAAAACTGTGTTTGCTGCCGTGACTATACATTTATACACTATAACAAAATAATTTACTGTAGTGCTTGTAGTCATAATAATATGTAATCATATAATAAAATAAAATAAAAAAAAAAATTTTTTTACTGTATTTGGCTGTCAGTTTAGCTATCTTAAACACACTTTTAGCTACGGGGTATACTTTAGATATAGCAATAGCTTTAACTACTGCAGCTAAGGTATTTGCAACGACAGCAAAAGTTGTGTCTTCTACATATAAATAGTTGCATACTACAACGAATTGTTGTAATACGTGTTGCTATGGCTGCTAATTGAAGTACGTCTTATATCTAAATTTTGTGTATCGGGTTGCTAAACTTGTTCAACTAAATAATTTAAGTGTCAGAGTTAAGATATTACCAGTCCATATTTTACGACGGTAATTTAGTTACCGCATGCAGTTTTTAGTTACGGCAGCTACTTTTTTTCCGTGTGCATGACACAAAAACGCCGATTTGGAGTTGCGCATAGCGCGGATCATCGCAGATACTTTCATGGAAGAGAACGTGATGTTGTGACGGTTCGCTTTTCTTGCGCTTGGATATGCTCGTCGAGCCAGGTAGGCAAGAAAGCGTGAGACGACCAACGCGTGTTAGCGTTGCTTTACCGAGGTTCAGAGAGACGGTCGGTAAGTCGGCGGGACCAGTCAGCGATAGATCCGGCGCTCCGAGCGGTTCGGTCGGTAACGGTGGAGCGGCCGCGGATGTCCCCGATGGTCGATTGCCGTATGGCACTTAAGCGTAGCGAGATCGATAGCTGGTCTATGTCGGCCAGGCGCTCTGGCCTTCTCCGTGCGCACGGTGTTGGTGCCAACGGGATGCCCTGATCGGGCGGAAGGCGAAGAAGCCAGACGCCCTGGCTCTCTTCGCTGAACGCAGGAGATGTGAAGAAGCCAGGCACCCTGGCTCTCCTCGCAAGGAACGTGAAGAAATCATGCGCCCTGATTCTCTTCGCAGGAGGAACGGTCTCGACAGGAGTAGGTTCGGGACCGGACTGGTAGCCGTCGCTCCGCGGCGGCGGCTTATATACCCCCGCCGATGGGCTTCGGCGGGGGGCTGCGGAGAGGAAGTCGCTCTCCCGTAACACGCTCGGTGCGCGTGTTTAGTCGGAGTAAAGGCGCTGAGCGCCAGGGGCGGCTGGTCGGCCCCTTGTGATGACGAGGCGGGGGGCGTATCGTCACAACGTTAACGAAAGAATCACGTGAAGTTCCAGGTAGGTGCTGACTCACCGATAGTGGCTGAGAGCGTATTGGATCCGCAGATGTCGACTCATGGAACAGGGACAACGCAGCAATGAAACCCATATAAAAAGCGTGATAAAAAAGATATATTATTTCATTTATTTTTATATTATTTTATTTTATGTCGTTAACACATTTAATGTATTTTATTTTAAAAATGTTATAGATTTATTATTTGTCGTTATACACAGTGTGGTCCATAAGTTCCCAGACTGATTTTTTTGCAGCCTTCCCATTGACGCCATATATCGGATGACTGTTGAACTACGTAGTTTAAACCTGAAAAGTGAGCGGTTGGAGAATTTTACCGCGGCAGGGTGGCAGTTGGAGGGTTAGAGGAATCAGGAAAGACACGGGAGATATTTGGGGAAAACTCACAGTAAAGGCAATTTCACCAAACACTGCTTTTATTCGGCAGTAACAACCAGGGTCATGCCACGAGGCATGGCGTTCAAGGTCTTACACGTTCGACTTCCGACAAAAAACTCCGCTACCGTCTTCCCGTACCAACGGCATCGTCGCGATCGCTTGCGAGCGCCAATCAGCGCGACCGTTCGGCTCCGCCAATCGTTGAGCGGTCACGCGGTCAGGACTAGGTGGCGCTAAAGTCACTAGATTTATAAAGTACCGCAATCATCCGCCATTTTGGCTCCAATACGCGGCTCATTCAAAACATATACATATGTGTACGAATGTATTTTGTAAATAAGAAAGA